ATCATTTCTTTATTGCATTTGGGACTCTAAAGCGTAGTTTATCTACAAAAAGGAAAATGTTTCTTCTGCTAGTCTGTGACTCTTGAAATTGATACTACCTATATAAACTCAATAATTATTTTATAAATATTAACATTCCATCTTCCTTCCTGAGGCTCATTAGAACATAAATTCATTATAAATTTATATCATTAAGTTGTTTATTTGTTACACCTATGGGCCTACTTTTCCTTTCTGCTCCATCTTTTTAAAATTGTATTCTTATGTTTCTGAGACGTAAGACATGTCTGTCTTCCCTCATATATTTTTGGGTTTTTTTGTAACTTCAGACTCAGGCTTTTCCCATCTCTTTACTATTCTTGTATTATTATTAGGCAGGCTTCTCTGAGAAGTCAAACTGGTGGGTACTCACTGCCTGCCTTAGGCGAAGAAAGTGGCCAGATTTGAGTCTACAACTTATCCTTTGGGGTGTTGTTTGGAATGTTTAAGCCAATCAACTCTGCTTCACTTAGACTGGCTCTTTCCCAATGATTGTATCCTGTGTACGTAAATAAAGAAGAAAGAAAATGAGAGTTACCAGTAAATCATCCTCTGGTCTGATCAGGCAGGTTATCAAGCAAGTGAAATAATATAATTATACTTTACAGGGTGGGTATTCTTAAGTGTTCTTTCTCCCAAAGATTATCTAAAGGAATAATGTATAAGAAAAAGATGCTTATCAAACCTGTCCCTCTAGTGGCATGATAAACATAAGAAACTTTCAGAATCAGAGCATTAGCAAACCAGTTCTGTGCTTATGAATGTTGTCTCCTTCCTCAAATCTTCTTAATGGAAAAAAGAGGTTATGTTGTAACTAGTGTTACAGCAAATTAGAATTGGGCACTTTAGTGCCTGCTATTCCTTATGTTTCCTTCAAATGGAGTAAAAAGCCATTGAAACCTAAAGACGTGACTAAATCCTGCCTCCTGATTAACCTCTGGGATTTCTTCATCCTCTCTCCTGGCTTTGGTGTCATCCCCAGCACTCCTCTGGCCATCCATACACCACTGATGCCAAACCAGAGCGTTGATGTCTCCCTGCCTCTCAACACATTGGGCCCAGTCATGAAGATGGAGCCTCTGAACAACCTGCAGGTTAGACTTTTACTTCACTCAGGGGGTACAGGTTTATGTCTTGCCAATGTTGTCTGTAAAGCAACCCCTCTCTTTCTTATATTAGATTTGGTCATGGAATAGGGTTTGAAATAAATCTGTGGAGAAGACTTTTATTTTTCATTAGAAATACACACAGAAGTCACGCCTTGACACAAAGTTTTCTTTTTACTCAACAAACAAACGTCTCAAGGTGTTATGTACAAACTTTTTTTTTTTCTAAGACTTTCATAGGGAATTTGAATGTCACAAGAATAGATTTCAGTAGAGCTGTGTGGAGGTCATCTTTGAATACACAGCCATAAATAGTTGGGTTATCTGCATTTAAATATGATAAGTGTGTGGTAAGTGTAGCAGCATCTTAGAGGAGCTCAGAACTTTATGAAGTTTATAAGAGCCTCTCCATCTTGAAAATATTGACTTTTTAGAATGCTTAAGGTCCTAGCTTAGAGTATTGTTTCGTTTTCACCACTTTGAATTTCTCTTTGAAATATAAGCCTTCTGGGGTTCAAGCAACATGAAGGCAGAGAAGTAAGCATGTAAGCTGAAGCTGTAGCAACCCTCAAGGGATAAAATACAGATATAAGCCCAAGAAGTTGAGGGTTTTAATGCTCACAAGGACAGAAGAGACAACCTTGGGCTGACCTGAGATGGGGAACTGTAACTGATCCCTGCACAAAGCTGAGACCCTGGAAAGGCAAGTCCCTCAATGAAAGGGGAACTAGGAAAAGATTTCCACAGGGGCAAGTGATGAGAGAGTTCTCTTTGACCTGGGTTCTGGGCGACCTCTTGTGAGAAATCCAGGTCCCGAATTTATACTGTGTATGTGAAGAATTCTCCAAACCAGTAAATTAATGTAAAATTGGACCAGAACTGGTGAAACCCAGGGTACCTGGCAGAAGCAAATGCAAAACGGCCTTTATGCAATGGTTTTGAACTTTAAGGCCATCAGGACTCCCATCTGAGAAGAAAATCTCTACTGAAAGTCAGCTCACAATTTAACCAAAAAAAAAACAAGAGGGAAAGGTGCACTGTGACTGACAGAAGATGCAACAAAGAGGATTGCTATCCCCTTCTATCGAGAACTTGAAATGATAGAATAGTATGAATGAGACTATAAAATATGTTTTAAATGATGAGCAAAAAATTTCAACCTTCCACTTTCCAATCAAGACAGGTGGGATCCCATTGCTCAATCTCCTGGAAATACCAGTGTGGGATACTAGTACTTATGGTGAGACATCAACAATAAAATTACTTAGAGTTGAAAGTAACATTCTCCAACAGTTTAAGTACCAGTGCACCAAGCCTGCTTGCCAGTTGACTAACTACCTTGCTGCCTCAGCAGTTGACTGCTTCTTTCTCGGCAAAGGGTGTAATGATTTAGAGTGACAATGAGTGAGTCACAGTATAACTTGGCTCAGTCTAGAAGAACAAAACAAGGATTTCTGTGCAGAAGGAATTGGCTCTGTTGCTATAATGAGACTAATGTGTTAAGGGGCTTTTCCAGCACAGAATCCTGAAAGAAACTAACTAACTCAAATTTACATCTCCTCTGTTTTCATTGAAATCTAACCTCCTGTTGGCCCACAGAGCCTCAAGCCAAATATTTGAGGACAGTCAGCATGGGTACGAGAATGCTTTACTTTAGAATTAGGAAAGGGAATTTGGGTCACAGAAATGAGGGCAAATTTCCTACTCTTAAAATGAAAAGGAAACAGTAAATAAATAAATGTCAGTTTACTTCCCTATTTGCATTTCCATTTCACATTCAGTGAAATGAACATCCCAAATAGGAACCCTCATAAAAGAAATTGAATCTTAGTCCAAACCCCTCCCTCAAAAGTATTGTTATGATATTAGGACTAGCAAGTTTTCATTTTCACAAACGTGACATTATAAAAAACAATCTTAAAAATTTTCTATCTAAGCAGAAGGTAATAAAGCAGTTTCCATCTGTAGTCAACTATGGATTCTCCATGTTTTCCCCATGGATTCTTTTCTTGCAGGGATGTCATAATAATGGCTATTTTCTCATTAATTGGTATTGCTCAATGGAGAAGATAAGCAAACACTTGAAACGAGGTGAAGTTTTCTTCCCCCCGCTATGAGCAGCTCTATTTAATGTCTCCTAGTGCAAGGTGAAACTAATGACTAGCTTAAAGTGGTGGGCTACTTTAGATTTCAACTTCCATTCTGCTCTTGTCCTATAGTATGAACAAAAAGAATCAGATCTTAACTTCAACAAGCTTAGACCATAAAGATCCAGATAAAGCCAGGTAAAGATTGATTGGCATTTAAATGTTCTGCAAACATAATGTTTAAATTCAAGAGCTCATGCAGGAAAAATTAGTACTTTTCTAGTACTCCAGACCATAAAATCAGGAAAGAAAAAATGGGGTTTAGGAAATGAAATTTTGAAAGCAGTGTGAGTTTTAGCTATTTTGGCTAATTTGATATCAACGTAGGACAGATAAATCAAACCTAGTCGCCAAAACTGTAATGTAACATTTAGTACAAAAACTTTTCATTAAAAACATCGTCAAACTACTTATTGGCTTATAGTCTTTTTGAAACATTATTGAAAGACACTGTTCCCTCTTAAAATGTAAAATAGGTTATACCTTAGATACCTACTAGAAATTGGAACCTAGAAAATTTTTTCAGCTGTACTAATAATGTTGGTTGTAAAAGCCTTTGTGAATTCAACTTATCAATATTACACAAAGTAAAGCTTAGCTTGCCCCCGTTG